GATGGGCAAATAACGCTAAGGGGGTTTAGAGATGTATTGTGATAGACTAAGGTTATTGTATAAGGAAAATAGAGACCAACAATGGATATAATGGCAATATAAAGGATGAAACGTGTGACCGTACTTATTGACTCCGTATGATTCGCGGCCAGGCTGAAGGAAGTCCCAAAAGAAAGAAATATGTTATGAAAAAACTATGGAAATAAGAATTTTGTGTGCTCTTTTTGTTTGTTGTGATTGAGAATTTCTGTATTTTTCTTTATATGTTTGTGTTTTGTTGACTATTTGTGTGCATGCTGTCTTTACGGAATAAAAATAAAAAGAATTTGAAAAAAAAAAAAAAGGAAGTGTCTTCGGACAGCGCTGGCTCCCAGCCTCTTAAGTGACATAAGCGCACAACCCTAGAGTCGGACACGACTGGCCCGTACGGGCAGGGGTACCTTTACCTTTAAGCCCAAAAGGCTTCAATAAAAACAAGATGGTTCCTGCCTTCAGAGTTACAATTTAAAAAACACCGCATAAAGGAGATGAGGAGAGAAGAACAAGGACACTCAGGAGCTGTTTCTTAAAAGTTAAAAGTGGTTTTTATACTGATCAGCCACAATGGAAGCTGGGAGGCAAACTGGTCTCAGCAAAACTGATCAGAGTGTGCTTTCCTATATCTCACTCTTGCTGCAGTCTGATGGTGTAAATGCCGCTAGCAGCATTCAAAACTGGGAAAGAAAAGCAAGGCTTCACACAGTACCTGGAACCTAGGTTGTAGGGTGCCAAAACACAGTTTCTAGGTGCATTTGAAGCTCTTGCAGACAATCGGAAGTCGTGGAAGCCACGTCAGATGTTCGGGTTCCAAAGAACATTTGCAAACCGGAACAATCACTTCCAGGTTTGCAGTGTTTGGGAGCCGAAACGTTCAACTTGCAAGGCATTGGACTTCCGAGGTACGACTGTACAGATAATTCATTCAGATTTTCTGTAGTTTCCTTATGTTCCTTTCAGTATACCTCATCATCTCTTCATCCATTGTTCAAGTGCCTACCTAGTTGGTGTCCTGCTTTTTTAAAGACAGTAGCTAAAGACATTGATTGTCGATCTTAATGTTTTTAGTGATGTGTGCCTCAAATTCTTTTTAGGCACCCTTTATTGTCTGCTTGTGTTCAAATTTGTGTTCCATATTATCATTTGGGCAAAACCTCAGTTTTCTGAGTGAAGCATTCTTGCTTCTAATGGCTTCCTTGACGCTTGTTTCTTTAACAACATTGGCATGCTTGGATTTGGTGGTATCTTTTCTGATAAACTGAATACATTCTAGCTGAGCAATTGTTGTGGCTTTGTAGGAAGATTTTCCCTTTCAGTTTTGTTTAATTAGCCAATTTATGACCTTTTAAACTGTGTGCGCGCACAGGGTGGAGGGGTATTGTTTGCTACCATGGTATGTATTTCTTGGATAGGGGCAGTATAGAAATTTAATAAATAATAATAATAGTAATCTTTAAACAAAGGGGACTTGTAAAATATTACTATTCTGAAGTCAAATGTGATTATGTTGGATTTTTTGACAATTGAATACTTATGCGTGTTGGATTTCATAGCATTGTGGTCACTAGTTCCAGTTGGTTTCAACAGTGTTTGAACTTCTACCAGGTCCTGAGCAGCATCCATAGTTTTTCCTCCTTTGGTGGATTCCATGACCAACTGTTCCAGGGCACTATATTGAGGCTAATGAAAAATGCATATTTTTGTGTGACCAGAATATTCATCTAACAGTCTCTGTGATTACAATTGAAGGCATCCGTTACTACGTTTCCTGATTTTCACCCTCCACCTCAAGATCACTATGAGCATTTTGGTCAGGGAAGTATCAGTATGTCCTTAGTACAGTCAAACCTCTGTTCCCGAATGGCTCCGTTTTGGCTCCCAAACGCCGAAAACCCGATAGTAAATCCTCCTGTTTTCGAACATTTTTCAGAAGCTGAACATCTGATGCAGCTTCCACTTGAATGCAGGAAGCTCTTGCAACCAGTCGGAAGCCACACCTCAGTTGTCAAACATTTTGGAAGTCAAACGGGCTTCCAGAATGGATTATGTTTGACAACTGAGGTTTGACTGTACTAAATTACTTCTGGAGCCTGGTATTGCCACCCACAGCAATTTTTGGAGGGGTGTGTCTACTCCGTTTAAGATTTATAGTTTGTATGCCAAAGAGACATAATCAGTGGTCCTGTCAGAATTATTTTCACCCTCATCCTCTAGGTATGATACATTCCGAATAGGATGCTATCCAGCTTCTTTCAGCTTTCCTCCAGGATTAAGTTCAAAAATTGGTGTGCAACTTCTGACATCAAGCATTGTATCCTAGCCAATTGCTGCATTAAATTACATTAACTTCATTTAGAGATTCCAGAGTGTTTGTGGATATTCCATGCATCCAGAAGCCTAATTTGAGTACAGAACTTTCAGTTACGAAAATAAATGAGACAGCAGGCCTCAAGCTTTGTACGTGTATCGGAGCCCCATAAAACTTTTGATCTGAAGCGATTGTTCAAGTCACATAGTATATATCTTGTTGGGACAATTAGAAACTCAGTTGCATTGCTTTGGCAGCAGAGAAAGGAATGAAAAATAAGAGATACAGTGGTACCTTGGTTGTTGAATGGCTTGGCTTCCAAACAAATCGGCTCCAGGACACCACAAACCCAGAAGTGTATGTTCCAGTTTGTGAACGTTTTTCAGAAGCCGAGCAGCTTCCGCTTGAGTGCAGGAATCTCCTGCAGCCAATTGGAAGCCGCGCCTTGGTTTTCAAACCATTCCGAGAGTTGAAATAACTCCAGGACGGATTAAGTTTGACATCCAAGGTACCTCTGTATTTGGTTCTACGTTCAGTCCAAAATTGGTGCTACCACACTAAATTGCTTAACTTCTCTGAATTCATGAGACAGTTGTGCCTTATTTCCTGTCAACACGACCTTTTTATGATGACATCTTGAATTTCTTGTCATCCCGTCATTGTGTGTGACTTTATTTAGTGCAACTCATTTCCTGAACTGTACCTGCACTGTCATCAGTGGCATAACAGTAAACCGAACTTGGATCACTTTGCAGGCCAAGCACTCTGTAGCAACAGCACAGACAGGAAATCCTCTCCAAACCAGAAAGGAAGGGGGCAAGAAAGAGTCAGAACATCATCACAGTGGATTGCTGGGGTGGCGTAGACCGTGGGAAAGACATTGTGTAAAAGTCTAGTTGAAACTGTTGAGCCTGATCTGTAGTTGTCTGTCTCTACTGCTTTAATACTGATTTTATGTGAAAATGACATTTTGAATTATTTAAGCAATTATTGCAGTTAAAAATTTGGATAACCTCACTTCCCAAAATGTAAGACTCAAACCTTTCCACTGTTCAGTTCAGCACAACATTGTAATATGCTAACAAAATGAAATGGTGTAACAGGTGTTTATTATACCAGTTCAGATTAAAATCAGCAATTATTTTGGGTTTACATAAAGCCCACAACCCCCTTGCTCAGGCTTTGTGAACTACTTGTGGGTCATGACCCACAGGTTGCAAAACACTGTTTTAGAGACTTAGAAATTGAGAAGGCAAGCATCTGCTGTGATGCTGGAATTGCTTCAAAACACCTTAGAAATACGGTGTGATTATCAGCTTCTGTAAACCATGAAGATCTGGTCTCACAAGGAGCAATTTCTGAATGTTTTAGGCCTTCACTATGGGATTTGTGGTCTAATATTTTTGTTTGGAGTTTTTGTGTGTGTGTGTGAGAAAACTGTCCTTTTTTCCCCTGTATATGTAAATACAAGCCAAGTCTTGGTGCTCTCTCCTCACTAGATTTGAGATGAGCATGGCAGGGGCAGTCAGTGACGTGGCTTGGTTTCCATGGCAGTGACTTGATGTTATGTAAGGAAGTTGCATATACACTGGCTGGTTGTCATGGTTCTAAGAATCATACTCAAACAGCTCTTTCTCAATCGGATTTTTTCCAGTAACATTGAAGGTACACAGGTGCTGACCAACAACACTTAACACATTCTTATTTGTGTGTCTGTCACAATTCATATAGCCCGCTAGTCCTTAAGAACAGCGTCCTATTTTGAGAGAAGGAATTTATTTTTAAAACCACAGAATGTCCCTGCACAGTTCTCATTCAGATCCTCTTCCTGAACATATTTTGTGCAATTCTAAATCCACTTTTTAGGGAAACAAACATTGATTCTTGCTAACAGTGCTTTTTCACTTGACGTCGTTCCAGATTTTTTGTGAAGATATGCTGCCAGGCTATTTACATAGGCTAGCAACAAATAGAAAAGCTTAAAAAAAACAAAACACCAACTGCTTCTAATGTTGGGAGTTCTTAAAATGACCGTTAAGTTCCCAAGGGAAATGGGACGGTACCTGGAAACAAAATCTTGCTTACTTTAGACTTGATGGCTAGCAACAGGGGTATAAACAATGTTGTTTGCATTTCCTCCTATTGTATTCTTTCCTGTACAAACTTCGCTCTTAAATTAGTATGGTAAAATTGTGATAATTTTCAAGCTGTTAAGTATTGTTTTAAATGCTTTAGCAGTTTTCCATGATACCCATTTTCACCCAATAGTTGATTTTTTAAAATTTATTTTTAGGTTAGTGTGTTGCATGCAGGGCACAATAAAGATGTGTTTATATATATAAACAAAGGTGAATAATTTGTCCGGGGAGAGGGGGAAATAGTATCTAAAAAATTAAAATCTGCACCCACCAAGGTAATAACTGTGGCAGCATTGCTGAATATAATCTTCACATTTCCACTATTTATTTCAGTGAGCATATGAAGCTGCATTTCATCTTTCTGTGTATAAGGCATTTGTGGTATTATGCTGCTCAGTTTTGAACAATTAAAATGTTGGTTCAAATTAACTATGATAGGAAACTAATTCCTCCCCCCCCGTGCCGGTTGCAATAGGTTGTTGTTTTTCAAGTACAATATTTTTTAAATCTTGTTACAGATATATGGAGCCTGGGAGTTATCCTTTATATGTTGGTATGCGGGCAGCCACCATTCCAAGAAGCAAATGACAGCGAAACTTTGACAATGATCATGGACTGTAAATACACGGTGCCATCACGTGTGTCCAAAGAATGTAAAGAGTAAGTGAAATGTCAAACATAATGTATTGAAATTAAAATCATAACACTAACCATTCAGTATAGAACCAATGTGGTGATTAGTTAGGACTAGCACAGGGTTAGGTCCCAGGTAATCCCAGCTCATCCATTATTCTCACTTCAGTACTGTGGGCCGGGAACTATTCTTTCAACCCTCACAGGGTTGTCATGATAATGAAATAGAAGAACCATATATACTACCTTGAGCTCCCTAGATAAATATGAAGTTTTTCTTCATTTTTGAAATGGTTTGCTTCTTTAAACATCACCCTTTATCACATTCATTAAATGTTTGCATGTTGATGCTCTACAGGAGAGGGGTAACTTATTCGAAGCTGAGGTCCAAACGGGAAATATTAACTTGATGGTTGCTTTGAAGCTGTGCATATCTACTTTCATCAGTGTGATGGATGCAAAGTCTATGTACAGATAAGAAACATTTTCAAAGTTAAAGGAATACCTTCTCTCCCTTTACCATTTTCATTGCCAAAGCCCACAAAGCCCTCCTGTCAGCAGTACTTGGCTGCTGTTGTCAGTTGAAGAATACATTGATAACTGGAAACGTGAAACCCTGTAAACTATTTTTTATTGAGTGATTTTCTATATTCACATGGCCCATTGTAGAATAGTAATTTGTTAATAAAACAGAAGACAGTTTAAGAACGCAAGTCTATTCAATAAACATTGTGAAGCCTGTTGGAGCTGGGGGGGGGGGAATGTTTTTTAATTGCAGTTCTGGTTTTAGTAATTTTGACTGCTTTTTATGGCTTGACACTTGCTTAACACAAGTCCATAGCCATTCTGTGACTTCTGTAGACAGGTAAAAAAAAACCTAATAAGTGGAAAGTAATCCCAAGAATAATTCTACCTTGTCATAATTCTATGACTGCTTCAGAGCCCCTTAGTTGCAGTTTTAATTTTGTCTTGTCCCTCAACTGTATGCATTGTTTTGTTTTTGTTTTTTCCGTACCTCTGTTTGTATTATGTATGTGTAAGGAGCATCAAGAGAGACATGAAAACAGTCACAGTAGATAAGCTAGTTTGCCATCTAAACAAGCAAGCAGACATCCATACTTTCAGATTTGTTTGTAGATGTGTGTAGAAACTTATTTTTAAACTTGGGGAATGGCACCCCTTGGGATGCTTGGGGAACATTTTCCTACTGTGATGGTGCTAACGTACTTATAGAGCTGTATCTTTTTTCTCAGTTTAATCACACGAATGTTACAAAGAGACCCAAAACGAAGGGCATCTTTGGAAGAAATTGAAAACCATCCCTGGCTACAAGGAGTTGATCCATCGCCTGCAACCAAATATAATATTCCTTTGGTTTCATACAAAAATCTATCCGAGGAAGAGCACAACAGCATCATACAGCGAATGGTTCTGGGAGACATCGCAGACAGAGATACCATAGTAGAGTAAGCCACCCTTTTCTGTTGTGTTTACATTCCAGGATTGCAATTCCAATTTTGTTGTTACACAACAATTTTCTGTATAGAGCACAAGAAAATCCTTTTTCTGGATCAGGTGGGTGTCACCTTAGCCCAGCATTCTGTTTCTAGCCATTACCAGCCTTAAAAGTAAAGCTGAAGGCAAGCAACTTGCCCTGATTTATGCCCACTGGTATTCAGAGGAATAATTGCAGATGCAAGATTTATCAAGCTTTTGTATGTATCTTTGTAAGCTAAAGTGGCCCAAGACAAATTAAATCATTTACAGAACATGTCAAAACATTGATAACTTTTTGGAAATAAGTTACCAAGTCTGATCAAAGAGGAGCCCTGTCTAAAGCCCAATAATCAAATTGTCATTCATATTCTATTCAGTAGCTTGAGTGTTCTTTCTTCTTGGGTCTCTGGGCAATGGCCTTATCAGCAGTTTCCTTTTCTCCCATGTGTAGTTGATTGGGGATGGAGAGTATGTAGCAGCAGGCCCAGAGAGTGGGGCACCCGGGTTATGACATGCACCTTGTTCAGTCATGTCCTGTTCTTTATGCACTATTATCTGGCTCCCAACATCCTTGGCCATGTTAAGGAAACACTGGGTTATGGGGGGTGTAGGGTGTTCCTTAAAGGAGTAGGTATTCCCACTATGTGGCTTCTTCCTAGTGTAAACCGCTTTTAAATTGTATGTTTGGTTGTAACTCAGACATTAACTTTATATGTTCAGCTGTTGAATAGTGCAAGTGGCAATGTTGGAGACAGGCCCAATATAGAAGCCACTGAATTAACAAGTGGATGCTCTAAAACAGTTGAAACAGGAATTTGTATCTGCCAAGAAGCCTGCTGTTAATGCCTAATGACTAACTAGATGAACACATTGTCCGTTTGGCTATGGAAGATCAGTGGCAGATTTAAAAGTAACATATCACCTGTTTGCAAATTGATTTTATTTTGGACCTTTGCCTCTCTCCCCTGTGTAGTGCTAGGCAGTGGCTAGCTGGCAACAATGCTCCCGTGAGCTGAGTTGGGGGAGAATGTGAGGAAAGTCCATGCTAATAAATGAGACTGCTCTCCTGCTTTCAAGGCAAGCACTTGATAAAGTCTCAGTCAACACTGACAAAGTTTGTTTCCCTGGGGTTGCCTCTCCCTGCAGTGAGAGATCATCGCAGGGAGGCAGTGGAGACACTCCCAGCCTCCTAATCTCAGTAATCGTAGTCACAAATGTATGTATCAGGAGCTCAGCCTGTAAGAAGAGAATTCCTTTGTTTGAGCAGACTATCTGTAAAAGTAAAGTATAGTTATATCTGACAGCTGCAAAAGGTTACTGAAGCATAGACTGGCATTCAGTAAATTACTGTGATTGGGGAAAATCTATTCAGCTTTTGGTTGCTTTCCTTAATATAGCCTAGTTTGATTATTGAACTTGCCACATTAGGTTGTCCAGTTCTTAATAAACTAAAAGCTATCTGTCAATATGTCAAAAGACTAATTTCTACTTATAGGCACTGTTCAGTATTTGCTTTGAGGTGCATTGTAAGCAGTGCTGGCTGCATGTCCAGTTTCAGAAAACTCTTGATGTATGATGTGTTCCATTTTAATTTTATTTCCCTCAGGGCTCTGGAAACCAACAAATACAATCACATCACTGCTACCTACTTCTTACTAGCAGAGCGGATTCTGAGAGAGAAGCAGGAGAAAGAAATACAAACCAGATCAGCAAGCCCAAGCAATATCAAAGCTCAGTTTAGGTAATAATTTAAAGTATTCAAATTGTACTAAATTTAAGAGTTTTTAATCATACATTCTTTAAAAGGGCCCACCTTTTTGATAATTTTAAATAGATTGTCATGCTACTGTGGTGTATCATTGCCAAAACACTGTGTGCTCTACAGCTTCTGCACAGCTAAGTTGGTAATTTTGAAGGGATTTCTGCTGCTGAAGGTTGTTAACTGTTCTGCAGGTTGGGATCTGGAAGCTTATTCACCAGCAGCACAGCCACAGAATTGGTTCCATGGAGAAATGTTCGTTTTCTTTTCTCCTGTCATACTGAAGTCACCATTCTTAGCCTTTCTATCATTGAATTCACAACCTAGGGTAATGTTAGGTAAGGAATATCTGAGTTCATGCTTGCCCCAGTGCATGCCACAACTGTAACACAGAACGAATCAGCCACTTTGTGGTGTTGTTGTTGCAGAGTCTGCACCCTATTCCAACAGGCAGAATTTCCCATGAAGAATGAGAGCTCAGAGAGAGATGGAAATCGGTGCATCCCATTCCTGTTAGATCAGATATGGAGACTTGTGCCCCTGCAGATGGTGAGGGACTACAATGTCCATCACCCCATCCATTGGCCATGCCAGCTGGGGCTAATGAAAGTTGGGAGTGTGGAGGACAACTACATGTGTCTAGCTCAGCTTTGTCTAACCTGACTTGGCAGGAGCTCTCCGCCATCTTGGACAGAGATCCTTCAAGCTTTCCCTGTTAAAGATCATCAGACCAGGAATGCCATGGATTGAGCATAGCACATGCATGAGAAAGTGTGTGCTCTACCACTGAGTTATAGAACTTAGCAATATTGTGGCTCTGTCAGGAACTGTAACTGCTGAAGCCCATACCAAAGTTCCATTGGTGAGCTTGTGGGAAAGGAGTAGGCAGTTAAAAAAATAAATTGCCTAGAAAGTTGTATTTTCAGAAACGGAATAGTTAAAGAAGCTGAAAGGTATAATTAGGAAGATCCCTTCAGGAAGGCAGAACTATTTAAAACCACTGCAATAGAGACTAAAATAAAATGTATACTGCAAATGAGAAGAAACACAAACAAGTCCAGAAATATGTCGCTGTGTTTAAAAAGTTCCATCAGAGAGTATATGAAAGGCAGGAGGCCTTATTTTAAGAAATTGAAGTCTTGTCAAAAGGAAGACAATAAACAGCAAAAGTTCATGTGCCTTTCCTTCTGTGTGCTTTTAAATGTTAGGACTGGCCACACTTCTGCCTTTGTGATGATAGCATCCTTTCTGCCTATATTTGCTCTGTTAATTTTTAAAAAAACAACAACATTGGAGCAAATAACTACAATTTTGGGGGGGGGGGGCGGGGGTGATTTTTAGAAGGAAAACCATAAATGAAGGATAACCCTTGTCCTGCAGTCCCAAACTAGTTTTAGTTGTGTTCGGGATGAGGGCAGGAGAGAGATTATGTTGCCAATTGTAAGCATGGAAATATTTAAGTGTGTTTAAAATTGCATCTAGTTTGACTCCAATATTGCAGCTGCCAACCTTTGCACACTTGGGAGTAAGGCATGTTTTGCTAAAGTGGGAGATATTCATTCTGAATGAATATGCTTTGACGAGGCTGCATGGATACAAATTCTGGAAAACCACACTTGAAATTGACAGGCAAGAAAAGTAATTGGACAGATAGTTTTTTAGCTTAGTTGTTAAATGCATCAGTCAGAAGTGATGTAGGATATAAAAAGTTTAAATACATTGCTAGGAGAAAAATTTCAGCAAAGCTGATTATGTGTAATATAAATGTATGATTACCACAACCATGGAAGCTTGGACTGGAAATGTACTACTCCACAAACATATGTATTTTCAAGGATTATTTGATACCTGGGTCTCACTCTGTGTGCAAGGGGACACTGGGATATCTGCTGTGCACTTTGTTAAGTGACTTTGTGCATTTGGCTCTTATTGGCCTGATTTCTAGCTATTTTTTTGATCTGCCAGCCTGCAACTGTTATGAACAATTTCTTTGAAAGTCTCTGGCATTCATGGCAATGGCTTTGGAACCTGCTTTTAAAATTTTGATTTGCCTTGCCAGTATTACTTTGGCATATTCAGAGCAGCAAAGAATGTCTGTTCCTGTCTTAACTTTGCTTCATCTAAAACCAAGAATGTCTTCATAACTTCAGTAAAAATTGTGCCTTTTAAAAAAGTGGACTTGTTTGTATTCTGTGCCGCTTATCAGATAGTGACTTCTTGAAATCTTTTTTTTTAAGGTTGAGCAGCATAAAATGATATACACTTTAATATTTTTTTTAAAGCAGATGGAAATGCCATTGAAAAGAACTGCATCTTTCCATTCAAAAAGGCATTTACCAGGGCAGCTACAAATTCAAAAAGACTGGAATCCTGTAATCTTGGGCGTGGGCATGCTTATTAGAATTTTCTGCTTTTTCCCTTTACACAGCAGACTGCCATACCAGATCACAAATTACTTTTTGAAAATACTTCAATAAATAATAATAATAATAATTATTATTATTAATTATTCTACCCCCGCCTATCTGGCTGGGTTTCCCCAGCCACTCTGGGCAGCTTTCAACAGAACATTACAAACGGAATAAAACTTCACACATTTAAAACTTCCCTAAACAGGGCTGCCTTCACATGTCTTCTAAAAGTCAGATAGTTGCTTATGTCCCTGGCATCTGAGGAGAGGGCATTCCACAGGGCGGCGCCACTACCAAGAAGGCCCTCTGCCTGGTTCCCAGTAACATCACTTCTCGCAGGGAGGGAACCGCCAGAGAGGCTTGCCACTGGCTGCTGATGGTGGTGCTATTGCTAGAGAAACCTCAACCCAAAGCTACATCAGTTGTGCAGAACTAATTGGTAAGATCTCTGGATCTTGGCCAATATGTACAAATTTAATTCTTTGCCTGCTTGGTAAATTTTAAAATCACCTTACATTTTTCCAAGTTACAGTGAGAGGAGCTTTGCTTTTAAAACTTTTACTAAAATCCTTTGTTTCCTCTTTTTTGCACCTCTCTTAGGCAGTCATGGCCAACCAAAATCGATGTTCCTCAAGACTTGGAAGATGACCTTACAGCTTCTCCTCTCTCGCATGGAGGCGTTCCTCAGTCTCCAGCTCGCAGTGCTGAAAATGTTCTTAATGGTCACCGGAGCAAGGCACTTAATGATTCATCAAAGAAGGAGGACATTCCTGAATTAGCAGGACCAGCACTTTCCGTCGTTCCTTCGGTGAGCTTAAAACCTACAACTAGCGGTCGGAAGTGCTTGTTTAGGGTGGAAGAAGACGAGGAGGAGGACGAAGAAGATAAAAAACCAGTCTCCCTTTCAACCCAAGTGGTCCTGCGCCGCAAGCCTTCCGTTACAAACCGTCTGACTTCCCGGAAAAGCGCCCCGGTCCTGAATCAGATCTTTGAGGAAGGGGAGTCGGACGACGAGTTTGACATGGATGAGAACTTGCCCCCCAAACTTAGCCGTCTAAAAATGAACATTGCTTCGCCAAGCACCGTGCACAAGCGCTACCACCGAAGGAAAAGCCAGGGTCGGGGATCGAGCTGCAGCAGCTCAGAAACAAGCGACGACGACTCCGAAAGCAGGCGGCGTCTCGATAAAGACAGCGGGTTTACTTACTCCTGGCACAGACGGGATAGTAGCGAGGGACCTCCCGGCAATCAGGGAGACGGCAGCGGACAAGGAAAACCAAGCAATGGAAACGGAGGCGTAGACAAAACGAGCCCTGGCGACAACAACAAAGGGGGCGGGAGTCCTTCCAGTAGTTCTAGTGGAAGCACGAATAACAATTCGGGTTCCACTCGCAGGTGCGCCGGATCTGGAAATTCAATGCAGTTGTCTTCAAGAAGCGCGGGCGACCTGGTGGAAAGCCTCAAATTAATGAGCCTCTGCTTAGGTTCACAGATTCACAGTAGCACTAAATACATTATTGATCCGCAAAACACCATCTCCTTTTCCAGCGTCAAGGTACAGGAGAAATCCACGTGGAAGATGTGCATAAGTTCCTCTGGGAATGCAAATCCAGCTTCGTCCTTGGGCAGTATAAAATTCTTTTCTGATCAGATGTCGGACACTGCAAACGAATTAGAAAGGATAAAGAGCAAGAACTTGAAAAATAACGTGCTCCAACTACCTCTGTGTGAAAAGACTATATCTGTGAATATTCAGCGAAACCCGAAGGAGGGATTGCTGTGTACCGCTGGCCAAGCTACTTGCTGTCACGTTGTTTGACAGTAATCGGACTTAACTCATTCTACTTGACATCACCAATCTTCCTTTTCTGCGCTGTGAATACTTTATTTCACTGAAACCCTTCATTGTCATTGTCTTAATATTTTTAAATGAGCTTTGAGCAGTAATTTATTACATTTTAATTTAGTTTGCTTGAAATGACAATGCATGATTTTGTGCATGCTGCTAGCCAACAAATTTTTTTTTTGTTCCCAACGATAACAGGATTTGTGTACTTTTTTACATTTATAATTTTACTATAGAAAATCTGGATTGCAGTAAGGCTTGTGTCCGAATCCAGTGTAAATGAAGCACTTAGTAGTTTCACATTCTGCACTTAAATGAGAGAGAGAGAGCGCTTTTGTTTCTTTGTGAAATGTCCAATCTTGTTCTGATCTTCTGTGTTTCCTAAACTATGTGAGATGTGGCATAATTCTGTGTGTTTGCAACAGAACCAAAGCAATAATGTTTTGATGCTGAAAACTTCTGTGAGCTTTCAGATTTCCAAGGCTTGTACAAAGCAAGGATGCACTGAGAATTTAAGAGATCTTGAACTATAATTTTTATCCCCACATCTCTTTTGTCTTAAACTATAATATGCATGAGATGGTGGCCGAAGATCTTGGTTTGTTACAGACAAGATGGGGGGAAATAGTTAAGCAGCTTCCCCCGAGAAAAATTGTACATGCAGACAATCTTTTAAAAACTGTATTACAAAGGAAAATTATAAAGTCATCTGCTTGGAGTATTTTTAAAAAAACAATCTAAGGGAGAACACATCTGTTACTAGAGTCTATTATCATGGCAGTTGTTGGGTACAGTGCAAGACTATTTAAATTGGACCAATTTGTGTGACTTTTGAGAGGTCTTTTCCAGTAAGCTAGTTCCTGTAAATTAACTAGCCATAAGCATAGTAAAAGGCTTAACAAAGTTTCCTCTTCCTGTCTTTCACCCCACAGCATTTTGAAGCCTGCTCTCAATATTATTGATTACCTGAAGGATGTAACTGAGCATCTTAATTCCACATTTCCATTATTTCCATGTAAACAAATGAACAGGCCAATCAAGATGGGTGTCCGTGTAGTGTGGGATATATCAAAAGTGCTCCAAAATGCAGCACTGTATCCAGTCATCTAAACCAATCGTTTAAGTGAATTTAGGTAGAGCAGAAAACAGTTGCTAGAATTTGAATAGGAGGTCTGTTCAGATCAGGAAGGATCTTATTGGGAGTGCATTAACATTGTGCATCCTAAATACACTCCACAGATCTCAAAACGTGCCATGTACTGCAAATTTCTAGAATTTTTTTTCCAATATAAAATTTAGTTTGGGGTATAACAGTCTTGTTTATTTCCCTTCCATAACTCTCTCTCCAAATTGAGTCAGACAACACAAGTTGCATGGATCAATTTCTTTTTACATTCTGCACAGCTCTTCGTTTTTCTCTTTTTTTAACCCCTTGCTACTGAGATGTCAGCAGATAAGTAGGCTGGCATTTTTAATGTACAAAAGGAAACTTTTGACCAGGTGAACTTGTTTGAACTTTTATCTAGAATAAAATATATTGCAGATTCCCAATTTTGGGAAGGACAAGAATGTTATTTTTTCAAGCTCTGTGCGCTGGGTCTTCAAAGCAATGCTGGTAAGTATTGATGGTATTATGTAGCAACAACCCAGGCAGGCACTGATTAAGAGACTACACAGTTTAGTATCTAAATGCTAGCAAAATGGTCAAGTAGAATGCATTTCATTTACCTTATAGACTGTAGAGCACCAAAGAACTGTTTTTGGTTATGTTTGCTTCTTTTAGTGTGGCAAAGGATGCAATTCAAAGCATATTTACAAGGAAGTAAATCCCAGTGTGTTCAGCATGGCTTACTTTCAAGTAAACATGTTCAGAATTAGGCTGCAAATCTCAATCGTGCAGCCTATTTTATTATCAAGCTTAGGAGGGGAATATATTTTCCCAGCAAAGCAAGTTACGAATGAAACACTTTGCTTTAGTTTTATTTTTTAAGCTTATGTTGCAATGTAGTTTTAAAACATCCTATCATACATGTATGATATCTACACAGTTGAAAGCTACAAGAACAGGCATGCCGGCGAAGCCATAGCGCATATTTCTTTGAAATTTTCTTAAGCAGGGATCTTACAAAGGGCCAGAAATATGGACAGTTCACAGATGACGGTGAACAGAGCATCTATATAAAAAGTAGGAGAAAGTTTATAAAGGGCATTGGCAATAAACTGTTGCAGCTTTTTATTTTCAAGTCTTGTAAATATTCTTTCCACACGTTATGTACAGCCTTGGAATGGCACCTTTTGACTAATCCCAGACGTTTTTTCATTCCCTCTGTTTTTTATATACAAATGTGTATATACGGTGCTCACTTTAGAACAGCAGTGTTGACCATTTATGCTGCATAGCTGTAACATAGCCTTATTTAGTTGTGTATGGTTGGTTGAACCTCTGGGTGTACAGATGTTAGCTTGAGTGTTGTCTTTTTAATCCATTTATTCACCGGTGAATGATTGTGCATGTGTTGTATGTTGTATTACGTCATGTTAAAAGGAGGGAGAGAATAACCACTACATTGAAATATATTGGACCAAACTATTATAGAACAAGTAACAGTTTCTTGTACCCCTTAAATCTGTCTTTACAAGTTGCATATAGTCAACGTAGCATATAAATTAAATATTGTGGAAAGCAACTAGTCTTGTATTTTTCTGTATGTGTATATAATGTACCTCTAGCAACTTTATCTGTATTAAGATGTGACAATCTTGACACAGAATTTTACAATTAGTAAAATAAAGCAGAATAAAATGGAGAAAAGCTACGTGTATTAGGGGGAGGGTACAGAAATACCAGTTGATCCTTGTCAATTGCTTCCAGCGATGTTTGGCTTTCTTCATTGTATAAACATTCATGGTGTGTGACAAATGGAAAAAAAATCCAGTTAATAAAAATGACCTCTTGATTGGTGCATAAATGATGTCCATGTCAACTTTATACGCTCTCTGGCCCTGAGGACACCAGAAGCTGATGTACTGTGACTTTTTGTCAGAAGTAAAAAACAGTATTACATGTAGAGTGGCTCTCTATGCGCATTGGAAACTGTGCACGTGCAGGAAAAAATATGGCAACTTCTGAAGTTTTCCAAAAAGCATGAGACACACTCGCGCTAGCTCTTGTATCTACCACTCATGTGAACAGGAAGTGTCTTGTTCTTTGGGTGTTAGTCATTGTGTTTTGTAACTTGAAAAAAAAAGTTTTGATGATACTACTGGAAGGAGAAAATCTGTACGGGTGTGTTTGTGGACTCTCACTCCCCTTAAAAAAAAGGCTCCAAAGCCCATATTTTAAAATGCAAAAATTTGGGGGAGGTGCTAATTGGATGACTATACTCCGAATACTACCTTCCTTGGAAACAGGGTATGACAGCATTGAATTTGCTAGCAATTCACCCAAGGCTCCAGATGATAGGACTTCACATTTGTTTAGGACGAATGCCACAAAAAATGAAATAAAAACATAAGATTTATTCATCATTTAAGGTTAGAAATGAAAATTCTTTATAGAAATGGAATAGCAGGAATTTAAAATTTAACTTTTTAAACTCAATCATTCATAAGACAAGCCTGAAGAAAACAGAGCTAATGGACAATATAAAATACTCGACTTTATCTGACTTGGTCAGGTTGTGGGGGCACTTAGACGTGGTCAGAATAGCAACAAATTTGACATCCTGAGGTGTCTGCAAGTCCCATCTCTTCCACACACACACCCGTCCTTATATTTGAAAATAAAAGGGCTGGGTATCATGGATTAATCAAGTTTCTTTGATCACAACCTTTTTGAAACCACCTGCCAGTCCAGAGTTAACAGAAACAAATTTACTTTATTAGGAAAGAGCTTGGAAGGATGCTAAGTAGTCTGTTAGCTGCCTCAAACCATACTGCAATTTTCCGCCCTTGGGCTTGCAATCCAGATTTGACTACAGTCCAAAACTACTCTCTGGATACGGGTGAGAACTGCACACAGAGTTTGCGTCTCTCTCTCTCTGCTTCCCTGCCCCTGGGTCAAGTCATCTGAAATGGCTTAGAATAAAATATTCAGCGCAGCTTCACCAGCTGAAGAGATGCTGCTTTAAAATGCTTTTTCATAAAATGGCCTCTGGTAAAGGGCTCTTTCCAGGAAAAACTCCCATGAAAGCTCTAGATTCATGTAATTTCTGTCAGTCCCCTTGAAAATTCTATGTGCAGATGAACATTGGGGCAAAATAGTTGATATGAATCAGTTCATTAATCCAGTCAACAGACCTCACACACAAACACACAAAATTGCATTCTACAAAACACAATACAATTTAATCAATAATCTATTACTAATTTGGTATCCTGGCTACTATAACTCTGAATGTTATTTTTCACCACCTTTGAATATAAATTTTATGACACAAACTAGCTAAATTCGTGTTGAGAGTAATGAAGCCACCAGTGAAAATCAATGTCATGTTTTCCTGGCTGCTAACAGAGATATTTGATGAATTTGTATCCTGTTTCTGTACAGTGTATAATATTTTAATGTGAAGTCTGTGGGCTTAATCAATAAATTGACAGCTAATATTACTATATCTTATATTCTGCAAGCATGGATATGCTTCTGGCTGCTGCTAAAGATTCCCCCCCTCCCAATCCTGAGGCTGTTTAAAATGCATGAATGAACACCCCCCCAAAAAAAAACCCACTCCTCAATATTTACTGTTTTGCCTTTTATCAGTGCCTTTTATACAATCATGGAGAAGGGTAAAAATGCCATTTTTTCATATATCTCTAGGCCATTGGCTTTTTTACTCTGGTCTCCACTTCCTCTTTTTAATGTGACCCCCCCCCCATTGTTTTAATGAATCCAAGTGGCCGATATACATAAATTTGCATGTATATACAGTGGCATCTCGGTTTTCAAACGTCTCTGTTGATGAACATCTCGGTTTTCGAATGCCGTAAACCCAGAAGTAAATGCTTCGGTTTTCGAACGCGCCTCGGAAGTCTAACATGAAACGTGGCTTCTGTTTTGAGGCTTTGAGGGGGGGAATCTTTAGCAGTTTTTGAATGATTCGGAACTCAAACAGTCTTCCAGAACAGATTATGTTCAAAAACCGAGGTATCACTGTATATAAAGGACTGTAACCATTGCTGCTATGGCATTACGATCGCCAGTTCTACCTTGTAACCTGATTACACCAGTGTATGAGAGAGATTGCTCATATACGGTTAGGATTCACTGGGAACTTTAAGCTTAAATATCAACAGTTAACTTGCTTTTATACTGCCATCCCAACCGTCTCACCTGCCTTGGTTAAAATAACTAAAGCTTCTCGGAAAACAAAAATCCTATCATTGTAGAACATAACAATACAAAGTTTTGCATTAAGTTGGGTTTTAGATGCAAAAGTGAAATATTGCAGATTAGGCAGGTGGCCTCGGGGAAAGGAAAAGTCAAAAGGGTTTTCCACTGAAGATGGAATGGGAGTGGTGCCTCAAAATTAGGGGCTGCTTCTCTTCTTCACCCTGAAGATAAAACCAACAACTGAAAGTGAGTATGTGGGGAGGTGTGTGTGCGCGCGCATGCATTTATCTCAAAATGCAACTGCTGAAGGGCCAAAACGTACCAGGATTGCAGAGCTCAGAGGAGCTGGAGGCCAGCCAACCAGAAGAGTCTCTGAGGTGTTCTTGCCTGGAGACAGAGTCAGCATCCAAAGTCAGGTCTAGTCCTAGGAGCGGGTGAACAGCAATCCATGTGGTCTCATGGTCCAGGGGTCAGGGAATCCGATGATCTTGGGGTCAAGACGAGCAGGAAGCAGCAAGATCAGGCCAGAAACTCCAAGCATTGTTGCCAGCGTCTGACTGCTGCTGGAAGCTCTGCTTAAGAAGGCTGAAGCCAGTTAGTTCTCATCAGTGCCTTCTCCTCTGAGTCCTTGAAGGCTGATCAGCTGCAGGTGGAGTCACTCTGCCTTCTCCCCCTTCAGGCTGCTGTTCAGCAGGCAAAGTTGACTCCTGGCCCTTGACACAGGGAAAGGGAGTTTAATCCTTTCCTCTCCTGCTCCTCCCCTGTTGCAGTCCTCCTGAATTTGTCACGGATAGCCAACATGGTTTTGGCGATCTACAGCTGCCTTCATTCCTGATCCTTGGGTATGCTTACTGAAGCTGATGGGATCAACAACTTCTGCAAGGCACCATGTTGACATATCTTGTGGTAGGTCCATTATGGTTTCGGGAGGAAATCCCATGCTAGCACCCACTAGGAGTTTCTTTTGAATGCAAATAGCTTCAAACTTGTGTTTTCCATCAGGGCTACACAACCGGCAAGGAAAAGGTTAAACTTTCTCTCCGCCCCCCCCCGATAATTATCACATTGTTAATTATCACATTAATAATTATCACTGCTGTGACTATCTACATTTTCAAAAACATGAAAGCCACAGAACTAATTGTGCCTGTGTTCAGATTGTAGAAAATGCAACAAATTGTATTTCTGATGATGCATAACGCTCCACTGAAATGGACCAAGTTGAATTTATGTCGAGGTGATTGATCAGGTTCCCGATTTCCTGTCCATGTGCATTTCTGATAATTTCAGCTTGCGTAATATTATCCTAATGTATTTGCTCCTTTGACCTCTGCTTAAGCTTTAAAGTGGGCATATATGGATTTGCGCTGCCCTACGTATTAACTTCTGCTAAATTTGACCTTGGTTTTATCCAGCCCCCTCCAGATGTGTAACTCTGAATCATGCATTGATTGCAAGAAGAAAATACGGTTTATATTAAGTTTTCTTTTGAAAGCACAAATGTAGAGGACATTGAAAAGGAGGTTTCTCTTTTCCGCATAGTGTTTCATGTCTAAATGTAGTATTATTTGCTTGCTACACACAATTTTACCAGGGAGATAATGCTGACCAGTGATATAGTGGAGGAGGAATGTGAAGGAACCACAGATCTGGGCCTTTTTTTCATCTGCTCTGGCAAGCGAATGAGGTAGAAATGGAGCTTCCAAGTTCTACTGTTTTTTGTGATGGCAGGGGAAAACAGAATGAGCAAAATAATGACATGGCGGGTAGGCAGTACTTTTCATTGATGGGTTCCTACTTCAAACTATTAGTCTAACGCTCTGTGCTTGCATAGCTTGCTGCTTCACTGGGGGACACTTTTTCATTTATGTACCAATTACATGGCTGCCAAAGTATCCTATCATCACCGGGGCCGATGTATTAACTACCAGTCTAGGCAGCTTCTGTTAGTGGATGGGGAAGGGAAGATGCCCTATCGCCCTTTGCCTTGGGCGGCAAAAGTCTTCAGTGCTACTTTGCAAGTTGGATTCTTGTCTTTTTACCTAATTAAAGCTCGGAGCTGTATTTCAGCCGCCTGCAGATACATATCTAAAGCTTAATGGGTTCCCAAGTTGGAGTCCTGCAGCCAGAAGATTTCAGGGAAGTGAGCCCAAGTCTCCCAGGCTAAAACCCTACATGCTAACCACTCCACTGCCCCATGTCGGTTTGTTTTTCCGCAGCCTGCCAGCTGATCCTAATAAATTGGGCAGAATGCTGCATACATATGGCTGGTTTTCTCTCTATAATGATGCAACGTAGCTCTCTTGCTCTTTTTAGGAGTGGGGGTGGAGACACACTAGGGCGGAATGGCCAGGGGGCATGTTCTGCTGAGCTCTTGCCCTTCAAAGTTTACCACAGAACCATGGTTGAGAAAAGTTGCCTGGCTGTAAGGAAGGGCAATTCTCAAATACCATGAAAGGCCACTTTCTGTTCTCTCACAGTTGAATCAAAGAGTTGCAGAGTTGGAAGGGACCCTGAGGATCATCTAGTCCAACCCCCTGCAATGCAGGAATACACAGCTGTCCCATACCTGCAACCTTGCCGTTATCAGCACCATGCTCTAACCAACTGAGCTATCCAGGATGACTTTGGACTACAATACACTGAATGCTGGAATACTGAATACTGAAATATAGTTATTATTAATTATTATTAGTTCAACTGCACAGCATGTTAAACACCCTCTTCAACCGGCTTTATTAGGCTCATTTTAACTAGCAGTACAAGTGAGGCAAAGCCTAGAGGCCAACAGACGTGCCAGAATGGTGTAAGTGTGACCATTTAGTTTGGCTCAGCTGGCAGATAGTTAGTTTCTTTTAACTACTCTAAAAGTGCCTCAGGCTTGCTGGTCATCCTATGTTTGGTCAGAACACTAGATGGCAAAAGCAGGTTTTCTTGCTGGAAATACTGGGTTGTGTATTTTTTAAAATACTTTTTATTGTTTATAGCTGCTTTTGTTATGTTGCAGCTATGCATTTGTTTTACGTTGTAAGCCTCCCTGAGAGTGGTAAAAAGGAGGCATACAAATAAAATTACCTATGTCTGTAGAAATATTGGTTGCATCTGTCTGTTTAATTAAAGCTGAACATCTGATGAAGGCACCTAGGCTATTATGGAGGGGCAGACGCCACCATGCTCCTGGCTGGAAGTAACAAAGGTAAAGGTAAAGGGACCCCTGACCATTAGGTCCAGTCGTGGCCGACTCTGGGGTTGCGGCGCTCATCTAGCTTTATTGGCCGAGGGAGCCGCTGTACAACTTCCGGGTCGTGTGGCCAGCATGACTAAGCCGCTTCTGGCGAACCAGAGCAGCACACGGAAGTGCCGTTTACCTTCCCGCCGGAGCGGTCCCTATTTATCTACTTGCACATGATGTGCTTTTGAACTCCTAGGTTGGCAGGAGGAAGTAACAAAGGTATGACTATAACAGCTTGTGGTTTAATGCATCTGCAAAACAAAGGAGGTTGAGCTATCAAAATGATTTCCCAACTGCTGTTTAGTTAGTCCCAGTAAACAAGCCTTGTGACTACTCCATTGTAAAACAATAAACAAGCCCTGAACACAGACAATTTACTTCTGTCTGGGTTGTGACCGCAGTGCTAGGAGAAAGTTGGTGTGCATGCTGGACTTTGATCTGCACCATTCTTAATACCAGATGTTACTATATAATAAGTCCAACAGTCTTAGTAGCTACAGCATTGAACTAGAGTCTTATCTAGACTTCAAAAGGTTTTCCAGAGAAGGAAGTTTCGCCTCTAGGGCAGGCCACACCTACGCACTAGAAAACAATCGCTGGCCTCATGCCATGTCCATGAGAGGATCTTGGGTTAAAAGTTCTCAAAATTGAAAGCCTGAAAGCCACAAAGAAAGATCTTGGTACACACAGGAAAAATTAGATGCACAATGATTAGATATTTTTAATGGCTCTCCTGCTGGTCAGATAAAACCATTGTATAATACAGCCTATATCTCATGACCCGGCAAAATGGAAGTGAATGATGAGCAGAAAGAATATACAAGCAGGGTTAAATTTGTACATCTCAGTGAGGATGCATCACGTTGAGTGAGCTTCGCTGCATGCTGAATTCTTCCCTGCCCAGCTCCTTAAAATTAATAACTTGACAAGGCACAGGTTTTAAGCTTAAAATATTGTAATACTCAGTCTCATACATTTTACAGTACACATTTTTTTTTCTTGAAAAAGATCCAAAACCTTGGGCTGGATTGGTCCTATAGGACAGATTTGTACATCACATTTTACAGTAAACAAGACTTGGATTAATTCCTTCATAAATGCTGGGAACCATCTAATAAGCCGCTTACAGAAAATAATGATGACTAGATATTCTAGCAGAAGGATGCAATTGCTCAACTGCTTTGGGGGATATGAAGCTGTGCATTAAGTATTGCTGCCTCACATTGGTGCTATTTAGATGGTAAACCAGAGCTGGCACAGGCAGCGTATGCGGAGGGGGGAAATAAATAATCATATTCTTTCAATGAGACTTTTAGTGGTGAATAAGGATAGGTAATGCTATATTACGGAGTGCTAGAACGTAGTACAAATACCATGCATGCCTGGCTGTTAATTCTCGTGTAGTCTTTATCTTTCCACAGCTGCTCTGTTTAGCATCCTAGTTTGCTTTTTCTTTCAGGGACTCTGCCACCAACTTCATTTGCTGAAAGAAAAAAGAAGGCAGAAAAATGAGGGAAGTTAAGCAAACACAGTAGGCATGAAGGTTTGAATGAATGCCATCCAGTTGATCAATTCAAAGTGTTGGTGCTGACCTTTAAAGCCCTAAACAGCCTCAGTCCTGTATACCTGAAGGAGCATCTACACTAAGGTCCAGCTCCGAGGGCCTTCTGGAAGTTCCCTTACCGCGAAAAGTGAGGTTACAGGGAGGTTATTTGCAATGGAGTTAAGAAATGTATGCAACGTTGAGCAGCAAGTAAGGAAGGGAACATCAGTGTAGCGGGATGGGAAATCAACTTTTAAATTTGTATTAAATTTGAAATAATTTGATGTTAATTTGTTAAGTTTTTTGAAAAGCAATAAAAATTAATTGGCAAGAAAGAAAGAAAGAAAGAAAGAAAGAAAGAAAGAAAGAAAGAAAGAAAGAAAGAAAGAAAGAAAGAAAGAAAGAAAGTGCACTGAGTCTGATCTGGGATTTTATATATTCAAAACCAGCACCAAATTATGGGGCGACAGAACTGTTTTGTTATGTTTGTTGCTGTAAAGGACAGTTCTGTGCTGTGCTTCTGAAATGGCAAGGAAAGTGATTCGGGCAGAAGGAAGGGCCATGGCTCCAGCAAACCACTGGACGCTTTCCGTATATCTTTCAAATGTAAAATATATTCAAAACGACAACACGATGAAGCTACACTTCCAGATCAACTATTAACAAGTTTAATTCAGTTCCTGTTGCACAATGTTGTGCGATCCCTGTTAACAGAAATCTCCAGAGCTGAATGATGGCATTCAAATTCTCCTTTAGGCAGCGTTGCTGCTCCATTTAGTTAGCCTTTAAAAAAGAAGCAGCAGCTGGGAGAGGAAACAATGGAAGAGGACTGGAAAAAATTTAAGGACTATTTGCAAAAACACTATAAGTTGTATGAATGTTAAGAAATATGCACGATTAGGAAATTTTTTTGGCTTTAGCAACTTGATTAGGTAAACTGAAAATTAAGACAAGAAAAAAGAGGTGGTAATATGAAACAATTTTATTATGTTAATTTTAAACGTACAAAGTTGGGATATAATATTGTGAACTTAGAAACATAATAACTGAAAGATACAAAGTTAAGAAACAGGTAACAATCTGAAACTTAATTAATTACAGAAGCGAGTCGGGAGACTATGTGCGGAAGTCCTTTTGAATCTGAAAAACGACTGAAATTGATTGTATTGACCTTTTATATCGTTTATTGATTTGTTCTTGTATTTCTTTCCCTATTTTGTGTCAGACTTTAAGAAAAGAACCTAAAAATCTTTTTAAAAAATAAAAATAAAAAAAAAAGCAGCAGCAGCCACGCTACATAATTAAGTAAAACTACAGAGAAGGCAGAATACAAGTACTATTGAATTCATCATCAGACTTGGATAAATCGTGTATCCTGGAGCAATTTGCTCAATGGCTGCAGTTATGGGAAATGTAGATCAGAAGAGGTGTTCTGTTCTGCTCGTGCTCACTATATTGGCAAGAAACAAATCTTGGAAACCGTGTAAAGTGTTTTATAATTCTTCATTTATTAAACAAATGATTGTGAATTTTGTAAATAATTGACTATAAAAATCCTCAAAGCAGATAACAAATGACAAAGCAGCAAAATCAAGAAAAATTCACATCTATACTTTAAAACGTACAAAAGTTAAAATACCAAAACAGATTAACATTACCTCGACCTTCTAAGTGTCTAAAGAAGAATGCTTTCAGAGGGCACCAAAAAGAATACAGTGAAGGTGCCAGCTTGATCTCAAAAGGCGAGGAGTTCCAAAGTTTAGTCGCTGCCACACTAAACAGAGTTCTTACAAATGCGGAAAAGGTATTTTAAGTGGCCTCTGTTGTAGTGCCAATTCTGTTAATTGAAGTGGCTGAATGGGCACACATGTGGTAAAGGTGATATCGTAGGCTATATTATTTTTAATGGATGGGCAGTCTTTTTGTACAAAGTATTTATTTATTTATCCATTCATTATTTTCAAATTTATACATTTCATTTGTTTTACAATCAATTTCATAATTTGACTTCCTTCCCCCTCTTTCTGCAGTTCCTTACATTTATTATTTAATATCTTCTGCATATCCAAATTCATTTCACTTGCTCATTTAAGTATCTACTGTAAATATATACTCTTACGAAACTGCAGGTTATTACAATAATCCTGCTAATGTTTTTATCTGTCTGCAATTTATCTGTAAATATTCAATAAACCATTTCCATTCTTTTACAAAAAGTTTGTTATCTTGAGTTCTTATTCTTCCGGAAAGTTGGAAAATGATGTTTATTTTTGTATACTTCCACTTTATTTATATTTGAATTTCTTTCTCCTATTTTTTTTCTAACTGCAAAGTCTTTGATCGGATCCTCAAAACTAATCTTACGTAATGCATCTGCTTATATACAATACTTAGTCGAGATAAGGCATCCTGCCTGCCTTGTTGCAGAGTTGCTCGGTTGGGATTTTTAATATACTTCAGCTGAGAAAATGAATACTCGGCCGAGCCATTTGTGACCGTTAATGTTAAAAATCCAGCAACGGGAATTTTCTGTGGTGCTCCCGTCCCCTCGATGCCCTAAGCATACTGTATGCTTCTTTTGCATATTTCCCCAGCTCTGGTGGTGGCCATCATCCCCTTCTGCAGCAAAGCATTAACCACCCCCTAGACCAGCGGTTCTCAACCTGTGGGTCCCCAGATGTTGCTGGACTACAACTCCCATCATCCCTAGCTAGCAAAGCCAGAGCTCAGGGATGATGGGAGTTGTAGTCCAACAACATCTGGGGACCCACAGGTTAAGAACTGCTGCCCTAGACCAACCCAGTGAATCCTCTTTGACTAGTTTCTACAAGGCAGGATGGACCAAGGTCAAAAAGACACGTGAGCCTCACCCTGAAAGTACTCTGTCCACATCCTCAGGCCACAACAACTGAAACTGATCCCTGGAGCGCTGAACACTCGGTGCTCCAAGGACCCCTCTCTGACCTGCTTCGCATATGGTGTCAAATTTGATGTGGGCGACTTTGGCCCCAAAGAGCTTTGCAAACATTTCACGGCATGCCACTGAGTGGTCAGATGGGAACACTCTGGCACTGAAAGCAACGAGACCTTTGACTGCTCAAAGAGAGCTCCACTTTGATCTTTGCCGAGAGGATACAACGGCAGTAAATAAGATAGATCCTTGAGAAAAGCAAAAAAAAAAAAAAAAAAGGCCAAAGCTGTACTCCCCTCCCTTTCCCCAGCTATCCAAGTAAAACTCTTAAGCATCACACTCTCAAAAGAAGCACTTTCTATGGTAATGAGAAGTGACCTTAAAAATGCTACAATAGAGATGCTAACAAAAAGGGGGGGGTGTTCCTTGCTTAAAAGCCTGAGATAAATCACACAAAGGTAATAGCACTTGATAAAAACTGTATTCAAAGAATGAATGGGGAAGAAATCTGATTTATATATCAAAACTAGGAGCGGTTTCGGATATCTGGGGGTGGTGTAGCAGTTAGAGAGTATTGAATTAGGACCAGGAGATGCAGGTTCAGACATGAGCTTGGGACCACCATACAGGGGGGTTACGAGGATAAAATGAGGGAGGGGAGACACCGCCTGCATTGCCTTGAGTTCCCTGGCGGCTCTAAGTTAGGATCTAAGAGTAAATCCTATATACAAATTGGTTGGCATTCATCGGTCTTGAGACACAATGAAGTGCACCTCCAGGAGTGAAATCAAACTGCTGTAGAATCACGGCGCCTGCTGTGGCTGCAAAGATCGGTAACTCGTAAGTGCTGCCTCCTGCATTGTTTTTGCTGTATTAGCAGCATCAAAGTGACCTCTCCTGGGTGCAAGCCTGGGGAGTGTGTCTGAAGGTCCCAAGACCACCTCTCAGCCTTGCTGATGTAGTCCAAAGGAAAGCAGAGGAATACACTTGGCACCAGCCGGGCTGCAGGAGTTGCCGGAAGGAGGCATACAAGACGCCATCCAACCATCTTAGGGACTCCACAGATTTATGCTGGGTTTACTTAGCTTTTTCTTCTCCCAAAGAATAGAATATATACTAATAGTGAAGCTCATTCTCCTGAAAGTGGTTCCTTAACTGGCCAAAATGAAACCACCCACAAGGGAGAAGTGGTTTGGTAGAACCACAGGATTTGCAGAAGCAGGGCGGGGAATGTTTAGAAAGAAGCGGAATATCCTCAATAGTTGGCAGGTTGTGTTTTTCTTTTGTTGGGTGGCGAATGGAACACTAGATGGAAGGGGGATGTGTAGAAAGTATCCTGACCAGGAGCGCTCTACCCTGCCACTTTTTGTTATAGGTCCTACTTGGTGGTATTTAGCTCTTCAAAATGCCAGACACATGCAACATCTACTAGATCAGTGGTTCGCAAAGTGGGTGATACCGTCCCCTGTGGGGGGAGGGATTACCTAGAGGGGCACTAAGAAGCAAGGTGGTGACTGGGGAGAGGTGGGGCTGGAGGTGTAAATGACTATCAGACTTTGAAAAGCTGGTATCACTGCATCAAATTCATCAATTTTGTGGAACTAAACTAGTTTTCATTGGATTCAGAATAAATGTGCAATTAATGGTTATTCTTATCTTCCTTAGTGGGTTGTGCAAACAGCTATGCTGAACAATCCATTTTGTAGAGCAAGGGGCACCAGGAATGAGTTTATGAAACCACCAAGTAGGACCCCCCCAAAAAAACATTTGGGAGCTACCGTAACAACAACAACAACAACAACAATTTATTTATACTCTACCCATCTGGCTGGGGTTCCCCAGCCACTATGGGCAACTCCCAACAGAATAATAATAATAATAATAATAATAATAATAATAATAATAGTGATAAAAGATCAAACATTAAAAACTTTCCTAAACAGAGCTGCCTTCAGATGTCTTCTAAAAGTCAGATAGTTGTTTCCTTCTTTGACATCTGATGGGAGGGCATTCCACAGGGCAGGCGCCA